CAGCAATGAAACTGTCAGCGAGAATTACTACTTCACTCCAGTGACTGGGAGCAGAAGGGTCTGGAGCTATTTACAGGGATGGCGACCTCAAAACAAAAGCCATGGAAGGATAAGAGCAGTAGTTACTCCAGCTAGGATAGCACAAATAGAACAGGGCTAACAGCAAAATGTCCTTGTCCTTTGCTGGGGGCAGGGGAAGAGGATAATCACCTTAGCAAATATCGACTAACAAGAAGTTAATGTTCATTATAAATGCAGAAAGAGAGTCTAACCTGCAGAAACTACCTGTTGCTTAAAAAAACCTCATCATTTTTTCCTCTATCCACTTTCTTGTGCTTTGGGGCCAGAGAACACGTAACACAAAACCCCAAACACTGCACTTTAAAGAGGGCAATGATGTTCCAGTAGTTAAGTACTACTACATCTTTTTAGACCTAGAAATTATTTTCAAAACCTTCCCAGGCTTCCAGCACTCGTAGGTGACTAGGAGTGTATCTACATAGCATAATGCAGTGCTGTGCAGCTGTCTTGAACACCAGAAGGAATATGGCCACGTTAGCACTGCACCCAGGCTGAAGTGCAGCTGGAGCATCCATCCTGCTTCTCAGGTAGTTTGGATCCATGCAAACGGTGCTTCACTACAACACATAAGCACACCCTTAGTCATCCTGCCTCAAAAAACAGCTGTGACATGACAGTTCTTCCTTAAATTACCAAGAATTGCAACAAAAGAGCATCTGAAGAGAAAAACAGACACCGAAGTTAAGAAGAGGAACAAGTTTTTACAATCGGCAGCATGCATCTTTCATTTAAAAAAACAGACACAGTCCCTGAAATGCTTTTCTCTCTTTATGTCAGCTCTACCCCTAGAGTTTACAAATTATGGCTCTGACTTGTAAATGTTAGTAAATACCTCCTTAAACCTTACTCAGTGTTTCCATAACTGTATATAGATTCTAGAGACTACCCTGCAAGAATAACACCCAAAATAGGTTCTAAAAATAAAGTGTTCTAGATGATTCTCACATATAGCCAAAGGCTGAAAACACAAACCATTTCATAAAGAAGGGCATGAACTTGAATTATGAACTTGAATTCAAGGGCTTCTTGAATTATAACTGGAGAATGGGAAAAAATCCAGAAAAGCATGCCAAAAAAAGCCTAAACTTTGACGGCGTTCGGAGCTGTGCTTCCTGCAAAAAAAAAAAAAAAAAAGAAAAAAAACAAAAAAAAAAAAAAAAAAAAAAAAAAAAACCACCAAGAAAACAAAAAAGAAAACAAAACCAGAATATAGCAAAAAATTAGTATCTCAAGTCCCCTTTCTGTTTTTGAAACAAAGCTTGAAGTCTGGGAAGAACGAAAACAGGAGTTCTTAATTCTGTGATTCACACTCCTCGATCTGAGCAATCGATAATCTCTAAGACCAGGCAATTGTTTGCCTGATGAGTTTGTAAAAAAGGCAACATTCCACCCCGATCAGTGTCGGGCTGTGAACGCCCCCCCTTGCCAGCAGCAATATGGATTGCCCGGCGCAGTCCGGTGATTCCTTTTTGCAGCCTACGTAATGCCCATTTACATAGTCGTGATATTTTTGAATGTGCTTTCAGAAGCCCTAAATGACATAAAAACATCCAGGAGACAACCACAGAGGTAACACAGCACTCCTGTGCCTGCGGAATTCACGAACAATATAAAGACGAAGTCCGGGGAGCACAATAAAACTCCATTTTACAGATTATGCATTCAGAACACCAACCCGAGGAAATCCTGGCCGTGTCTCCCCCCCACAGCGAGAGTGTGTCTGAGCACAACAGAGCACATATCCTGGCTCCTTCGCTAACCTACACGCACATTCCTACACCCCTTAGCAAAACAGTGACAGCGGGCATGAAAGGAAGGGAAACAATTACATTCTTTTAATAACAACGTTCACCAGCGCGTCGGACCCAGCCGGACAGTGCTACGCGGCGGCAGCTCCTGCATTCCCCTGGATCAGCCGCATTCTCCGCCGCTGCTCCGGCAGCCCGATTGTCCCCCGGCGGCCAGGCCGGGCACCGGCCCGCTGCCCCCGCGGCCGCCCGGCCGGGGCACGGAGCCCCGCACCTGGCGCCAGCCGTGACCCTCGGCTCCACGTCACTGCGCCCGGCGGGCGCGGGGCCGTGGCACGCCGGGCCCGCCGCCCCCCGCCGCAGCCCCCGGCCCGGCCCGAGCCGCGGCTCTTACCGCCAGGTCGGGGCTGTGCGAGTCCCGCTGGGACACGGCGCGGATGACCCCGGCCCGCCAGCGCCCGCTCTCCGGCGGTTCCTCGCCGCCGAGGCACAGGAACCGCTTCCCCACCAGCTCCGGCCGCGTCTCCACCGCCATGGCCGCCGCCGCGCAGGCACCGCACCAGCCGCCGAGCCCGCTGCTCTAGGGGCCGCGCATGGCGGGCGCGGGGCGGGGACGGGCGCGGGGCTCTCGGGCTCGCAGCGGCGGGAGGGCGGGAGCCCCTCGGCCGCGCCGCCGCCGCCACAGCCCGACACAAACACCGAGCGAGGGGCGGGGGCGGGCCGGGGGTGCGCGCTCCCTCCCTCACCTCCTCCCTCCCTCTCTCCCGCGCGCGCCCGCCCGCCGCGCTGCGGCCCCGACCACTCCGCCCACGCAGCCCCACTGCCATGGAGACCGACGCCGCGCGACGTCTCCCTCCGCCAGGCAGCGCGGGGCTAGCGGCCGCAGCGCGGCAAAGAGTCCGCGGCCTCTGGGGTGGCACCCGGACCCCGCGGCGGCTCGTCCCGTCGCCCCCTGCCCAGCCCCGGCCGGGGCGGCACGGCCCTCGCCTGCCGCCCCGGCGGCCCCCGAGAGCAGCCCCGCGGTGATCCGGCACTGGCGGGTACCCGCTCCGTGCCTCCGGTGCCGCGGCGGGAGCTCGGGCACGGCCTCTCCGCGGTGCTTTCCCTCGCTGCAAGCGCCTGTCCGTCCTCCGCGGGATCGCCCGCTCCCCGCTTAAGGCGCAGCGCTCCGAGAGCTCATTAATGTATATAAATGTGTGAAGGCGGGGTACCGGGAAGATGGAACCAGGCTCTTCCCGGCGGCATCAAGCAAGAGGACACGAAGCAAGAGGCAAGGTGTTGTTGTGATGCACTGCAAGAACTTCTTCACCATGAGAATGAGACTGGAACAAATTGTCCAGAAAGGGTGCAGTCTGCCTCGCTGGAGATACTCTAGAATTGTCTAGACACAACCCTATGCCATGCTGTCTAGGACAGCCCTGCTAACAGGGAGGTTGGACCAGGTGCTCCCCTGTGGTGCCTTCGAGCCTCACCCATTCTGTGGTTCTGTGAGAGCCCATGCTGACAAGGGTATCCCAAGAGCCAGGCACCAGCACACTGATGTCCCAGCCCTCTAGGGTTTGGGAGAGCCAGGACCAGGTCTGCCATCTGCAGCACCTTCTTCCCTAAAGTCAGTTTGCTGGGGAGTTCCACAAAGACACCCATCCAATCCATCCACCTTTCCCTACTGCAAAGACTACAGAACTCCCTGGGAATGTAATGTCAGTTTAATCCCTCAGAGGCTTTTAGAGACAGAACACTTCAGCCCTAGAAGACACTCTTGAATTCTGCTGAATGCCAGCAAACAGTGCATATCCAAGAAGTCAGCTCAGAGGCTCACAGGGGCTGCAGCACCTGAGAAGCCACACGGCCACGTTCTGTAGCAGTTGCTATCGGTTTGTTGTTCTTTCCATGGCTCCCGTAGTCATGCTGTGGTAATGCCATGTTTGCATTTGAAGAGTTTTTCCTTCACGTTATCTGGAGGTGTAGCTTTCCTGAACTTCTGCCTGCCTTTACTGGTATGCTTGCCCTCAAGAGAGCAGGTTAATGATCTCTCATCTAGCACTAAAAGCAAATTTGAATAGTGCATTTTTGAAAAATAGATTATGAGGCAAAAGCCATAAATCAAGACTGCCAGCTTCCCACATTCCTGTATATTTTAGTGGAACAAATAACTTCTGGTACAAGAGAAGTTAATTAACAGAAAAAAAAAGAAAAAGAAATCAATTCATCACTCACCATGACAAGAAGTTTGTTCACAGGATTAGAATAACTCACAAGACATAACATTTATATTGGAACCTATAGATGCCTGGCATCCCAGGCTGGAATGGATGGAGGTGTGCTCTTCAGAAGCTGCAGAAGCACAACCATACTGCATTTGAGCTCAATGAGATCTTCATTCACATCCCAAGATAATGCTACAACTAACAAAAGTGTACTGCAGTCTTGCAGAAAGAACAAAATGTATGTAAGTACCAGGCAGTTATCCATAAAGGGTATAAGGAGAAGTTACAAAACTGACTAAATAAATACTAATCATATCAAAGTTCTTGTATTCATTCCCTCTTGTTTAATCAAAGAGTAGAGATATTCTTTAACTCTACAATTAAATTACATTAATGTGCAATAAAATATAAAATACACCCCAAAAAAGCCAATTTTCATGATTCTAATATATTCAACTTGTGAATTTATCACAGAATACCAAACTACTAAGAATCAAATATTTTTAATTTGTTCCAAAAATTCATTTCAAGGCACTGACACTAGAATTATGTTTTAGTCTAGATTAGAATTCACTGAAGGCTATTGTTCAATGCAAAACTATCTTGTAGTTGTTAATCACCCGAAAATATCAGTAAGATCAAGTAACATCAGCATTTAGGTGGCAATTCCCATGTTTAGCTGTCAGTTCCCAGATACCAGGTGAGATGGGCAGGACTTTGCCCTGCTCTCCATTACACCACTGAGCTGGACCAGGAGGAGACAGCTCAAGGGAAAGCCTTGACACAACCCACAACTCGGCTCTTCTATCTTTCACTTTTTCATCTTGTAGCAGCTTTTTAGCTCAGAGGTGCTTTAGGAAGGTCAAAATTTCTATGTTCAGGTGGATCAGCATATGAGACTCACAGGTTGCTGGACATTTTCCACCTCCAGCAACTTATTTTCTTGGCCTCTCTTCACTTATCCATTTCTTCTTTGCTGCTTCCTTCTCTCCTGGTTTATCTGTGAAGAAATTGGGAGAGCACTAAATGCTCAGGATATGGATAAACCAACTATAAATCAACTCAGAACCTCTGTCTTCAGCAAAGCAAAGTCATGGTGCTGTGGCCCAAGACCTGAAAATAGCTTAGACACTAAATGTTTAAACAGTCTTTGCCCTATCCCACTCCAGTAGGATTTCTTCCTTTCTCAGAAGCCTTTGCAAGCATCAAACCAATACATTAACTCCCCTTTCAAAGCAACACCTCCCTTATTTGTTTGATAAATATTAAGGAATATTTGAACTGAAAAGTCAAAGCACCAAAATTCACAGGATTTAAAGGATTAAGGATGTTATTAATTGATGCATCTTCTGGAAAAAAAAAAAAAAGTGGCCTAAGGAAGCCTCTTCTTGTAGATTACTCTGAAAAGACCAGAGGAATCGTTCCTCTTGGAGCTCAGAAGCAACACTCAGAGCCAGATGGCCATGGGCAACAACAAAATAGAGCTGACACCTTCAGGCTGGTAGAAGTCCACAAAAAAAATAAAGCAAAAGAGCTCTAGGCTGAGCCCCAGGGAAGAAGAACTTCTCTTGGGAAATCGACTGTGGACAAACTCATCTCTTACTCCCTTGAAAGTATACACATTGGTTAGGTGCAAAATCAAGATATTTACTGAGAGCTTTTTGTATCTTCCAGATTAAAATGCAGCACAGCCTGCACTAGTAGTAATTGCATGCAGATAAATGCCGTATTTAGAAATTAATATTTCCATTTTACAGGAAGGAAAATTGAGAGAGAAAGACAAAATGACTTGTTAGTGTCACAACTCTTAAGCAGAATTATTACTGAACTAATTATCTCTAAAATATGTGCTACCTACTTCTAGATCTATCTTGCATTTCCTTAGGACATAGCATCAGTTTCCTCTGAATTCATAATTCCTTGGAAATTTGGAAAGCCACATTTAATGTTTTCCAGTGTTCAGCAGCAGAAAATTAAAAATCTACATTAAACAGGTTGGTTTAAGAGTTTTGTAACTTTAAAATTCATAGTCAAGAGAAAACAAATTTTTCATCAAACATCAGTTAATTCTGATACAAAGCAAACTTTTTATTTCCAAGTGTCTTATCTCCTACAGAGAGTCCACGGGCTTTTCTTAAGGCATCCTCCTTGAAAGCACAATTATTTGAGTGGTGAAGCAGTCCTTGAACAATGAATGGGACATAGAATGAGTGGGAAAGTATGATTCTTTAAAGACAGTTATGTAATGTAGACACAAATGCTGCATTGAACACCTGGTTGTACAAAAGTGCAAGAGAGTAAAAGTTGTGGTTTGTGGCATTACCTCCCCAGCTCTACCACTAACAATCATGTGTTGTGATTTATTGCATCTCCAGTTGTCTACAGTCACTCTCCATTTGGGTCTGTCTACTGACCACTCCTAGTATTTTCCAGTGTCTTAGCTTTCACAGCTGTAAAAAGGCTGCAAAGTTACTGCTACATTTACACTGCAGGTGAATGGAGAACCCTGCTGTGTCCAGGTATCATCCTCAGGACTTCTTTAATACCACCCTGGCTGTTGCTACAGCCCGAAAAGGAGAAAGATTTAAGTTTACTGCATTCGTTTATCACTCCAACCATATCTGCAAAAGAAAACATTGTTGTTCACAGGCTGCCACTCCATCAATGCTGACAACAGCAAGGAGCACTACTGAGCTTCCATGTGATGTTTCACAGTCAATTTATAGCCTAGAACAGATGAATACAGCATATTCCAATTCCAACATTTCCTTCTGTTCCAGCTAATGAGATAGCACCCAAAAAGGTTGAACTATTTGAATAAACATAGCCTTCAATACATTCTCTTCCTCCGAAGTTTGCTGACATCTTAAGATATCAGCCTATCCCTGTACAACCCCTGGCCCCCATTTCCTGCCACCCTTAACCACTGCCTTACACGTGAGTCAGCAAACAGAACTCCTGGGTACCCCACATTGCTTTAAGTATACAGCTGGCCGGCTCAGCCCCACGAAGTTGCAGGGGTGGGTTCTTCTGAGACCTGGAGCTGCTGAGACCTTCTCACCCCTTGACCTTGCCCTGGGGTTGGCCGACTCCTTCCTGCTGGGGATGGCACCACCTTCAGCCGCTGCCACTGTTTTCTGCCGTGTTTAAAGCATCGTTAGACCAGCACTACACCTAACAGTCCTTCCCCCTGCTGATGGGTTTACACCCTGTAGAGGTAAAATGCAGAGGGTGGGGGAATAGAGATAACAAGGTTCTCAGTCTCCACCTTTCCTTGAATACTTGAGGACTTAATTCCAAAGGTGAAACTGCATGGCCCTGCCTTGGCCTAATCAGATAACGTCTCCATCTAAAACAACTTATTTGAATTTGTTTGGAGGAAAATGCTCTCAGTTTCTTCAAGGCAGAGATGGAAGATGCCATTTCTACTGGTCACTCAACCCAGGTGCAAGCATTAAAAGCAAGAATGATGCACAGCAGCAGTGGTGTAACATTTTTGTGGCCATTCTAGCAATGTTAGATTTCCACTCAAGTTTCTTTCCTGCTTTTCATCTTACTGCTGATGCCAGCTTGAGGCTTGGTACTTCTCAAGAATCAGACTGAGCTTTAGGCCTATCGGTCAGCTCTCCCACAACATTCTAACACCCATAAGACAGAACAAGAACTGAGAACAATTTCTTATTTAGTTGAGGGGATCCACCCACAGAACAAAACACCAAAAGAGCTTATTCAGAGCCTGAACAGCCTCAGCACTGCTGATAGTCCTCCTGAAAGAGCCTACCTTGCCTTAAGCTGCTCCCATATACAACGCTCCTTTCTCCTGTCTGTCACTCACACATAAAACATGAAACCAATCAGCATTAAAATTAATTAATCACCTTCCCATGAGCCTTTGCTGCCACACCTTAGCTGTATAAATGCCAGTCAGTAAGACATGCTCTGCTGCTGAGGTAGCATTAACTAGAAAGATAGCTGAGTGTGTAGAAATTTAGGTTTCTCTCACATGGGCTCCTGGAGCATCAATTTTGTGGATTATCTAGTGTGTATTTTTTACCTGATGTTAAGTGCTTGGCTGTTGCTATCTCTGTGTTTTTACTATTAGTGGCTCTTGAAAGTTAGCAGATGGGTAACACTACAAAGAAAATCCCTGAAAACACAAACAGCCATGAAGACAGTTACTGCTTCTATGTCAGGCTTTTATCTCAGTTTTAAGATGTACTAAAGTTTCCCAGAATATTGTAGAGGAATATCTGTGTTGGATGAAAGGTGTTTAAGTAGATCATTTTATGAGTAGATACTGTTACTGATAAAAAGAACAGGACATATTCAACACTGAAATAAACTTACAGATCTTCTTTGAATTAACTGGGAGGTAGGTTGAGCTCTTATCCTCATGGAGATCACTAAGGTATTGTGTAGCAAAGATAAAAGAAGGGAAAACGTGCAACTATATCTGCTAGAGTTTTCTGACTTCTGAGTTGTTAAAGGTCTTTATAGAACTCCACTCGTAGTGCATTGAAGTACTTGAAACAGAAGTTCTATAATCTTATTTCTATTCTGTACATAAATTTCTTAATGTTTATTTTAAAACTTATAATGTATTTTTTAAAGCCTATTAAGAGCTATACTGGTGCTGCAGTGCAGGAAACTTCCTCCCTTCTGAACCTCTAGCTTCTCTATGATTAATGGTGTGGTGGTGCCCCCTTCAAAAGCAGGGGCTCCTGTTAACAGCAGCTCTGGATTGAAATGACTTGGAGGTTGCTGTTGCTTATCCTGACATAACTAAAACAGGTGATGGTTATAGTGAGAAAACAGTTTGCAATGCTGCTCTACAATATGCACAATAAAAAGCAAATAGGAGGCTTTGGGGTTTAGGAAGGTCTAAAGCTGAGGTAAGAAACAGCTGATTTCAGCTACCATTAAAATGTACTAGATGGAGAACATGACAACGTTCCTATGCTTGTCTGGGGAAAAAAAATATTAACAGAAAGATAGTTGGGCCTTTCTGAAAGTGAGGTAGAAAGAAAAGCTCTTAATGGCATAGGACAAATATAATTACTTTTTCTTTTTGAAATTTCTCTAACTTCTTTTCTCAGCCTCATTTACTACTCTGCTATCCAAATTCCTTTGCATTTTCTTAATTCAATTTTAGTATTTCCCCTATATCTTTATCTCACCAAGTATAATTGTTTGCCAGTTTTGTCTAAAAGAGTAACATGTGGTAAGGGCTCTTTAACAAACTTGTCTGATGAATATTTTTATGCCATGCTAGTTCTTTCCTCCTGCCAGCAAATTGTCTGCCAAGTGGCTTACAACTGACACACAGGTTTCCTTCCTGTATTCCAGCTGCCTGTCTTGTTGAATTTCTGTATCAGGAAAGGATGACAGATTAGTGTTAGCTGTGTTCTGCAATCCAGTAATAGCTATTATTTAACAATATTTATCTCTTTGGTAAGGGTTAGGTCTTCATATTTCATAGTGTTGTCTGGCACAGGGTGTAAACAAATTATGTTGCTGATTCTGTGCTGATCAAGCAGTGGTACTGTTGTATTTTTCCTGGCACTGTTATCCCAATTAAAACTATCACAAATTTTCTACTCGGCCAGTAGCTTCTTTGATTAATTTCCTGTTCTCATTAGTAGTGTTTCAGGGTCTGTCTGTCACATTTGTTCAGGCTATGCTGACCCCATAAAAGGGAATTGATTTAAGTCTGCCCTTACTGCAAGAACTGTAATGAAACATTACATCTTATAATGACAATCTGAAAAGGCACAAACCTACATAAGCATAGAGAAGGGACTTGCGTGTCTTCCTGGATTTAAGAGCAGTAGATTGTGTTTGGCTGTTGCTGTGTCATTTAATTGAATAAGAAGGTTGTCTTGGAGTCATGAACTAGCTGAGGCTGGAAGGAACCTCTGGACATTGTCTAGTCTGACCCCTCCCTGCTCAGGGCAGGACTACCTACAGCAGGCTCCTCAGGGCCATGTCCAGCCAAGTTTT